GCAAAGGCAAGAAATGCACGCCAGAAATCAAACCGAGATGAGGCCGGAGGGTTTGTGACCCGCTTGGCTGCGTTTTGGGGCCGTTACCAAACACACCCTGCCACATTAAACCCACCTGGGCCACCCCCGGCGGGGCCGGCCCGAACCCGAACCCCGGCGAGCACAAAGCGCGTCCGGCAACTTCGGCCGGGGGGATGAGAAAGCGCTTTTCCAGCGCAGGGATGGGGAATCTGCCGTGGTGCCTCAGGCCTGGATTCCTGCCCACGGCGTCTCCGGGGCACCCGAGCAGCCTCAGCCCGAATTTCCCGGCCAAAATCCGAGGCAGGATCCTGCCCAGGTGGATCGGGAAGCGCACGGAGCCCGCTCCTTGTCCTGGGCAGGTCCTACCCCGGCCGCAAAACCTCTCCTCTCTCCCATCTCCACGGCAACGAGCGGGATTTGAGGGAATTATTGGTGGAGTCATTACTACGGCGGCCACGCTGATAAAAGCCGCAGGCATCCGGAGCCGGGAAACGCTCCCGAGCGCCGGGATTGCAGCATCCCCGGGCTGCTCCAGCGCCGCTACCTGCCATCCATCATGGAGCCTTTCTTCGCATTGTTTAACGCTTTTCCTGCCCACCCACCCCCCAAAAATGTTACCAGCAGGCAGCTCCCCTGCCTGGCTGGAGAGGGAAGCGGGGATGGAGCAGAGAGGCGGCTGCAGGTTGATGTCGGGCTGGAGGATGCTGCCCGTGCCGCTGCTCCCTTCCTTCCCCGGGCTGGGAGCACCGCGGTGGGCGAGGACGGCCCGGGCTGAGGCACGGGGGGCACGGGGAAGGTGGGCACGAAAATCTGGATGGATTTTTCGCCCCCCGCAGTCCCTGGGGCAGGGAGCGGCGGGTCCGTCCTCACATCCTGGCAGCGGCTTTGTCCCCGCTGCGTCCCGCTGCTCCCGGGGGCCCGGGTGAGGAGCATCCTGGGGACAAGCCACCACCTCCCGGGCCACCATCCCCGCTCCGTCCCATCCCCCGTGGCCCCATACCTGCTTCTGGCCGCCGTCCTCCCGCGCTGGGCTCCTCCGGCGAGGGCAGCATCGCTCCCGCTCGCCCGCGGGCCGCCCCCGAGCCGGGGGTGCGGGTGGGGGCCGGAGCCCGCTCCGCCGCACAAAGGAGGAGGCTGCGGGCGGCTCAGGGCTGCGCCGGCCCGGGGGGATGCGGGGCTCCGGGGATGCGGGCACAGGGATGCGGGGAAGGAGGGATGCGGCCCGAGGGAAGCGCCCGGCTCCCTGCGGCCAGCACCTCCATGCCAGGCCCCGGGGAAGGAGCGAGGGAGGGAGGGTGGTGGCTGCGGGGTGGGGGGAGGAGGAGGAGGCGGAGGAGGAGGAGGAGGAGGGAGGGAGGAAGCCGAGGCTGAAGGCCCCGGCGGGGCCCTGGCAGGATGGCGGTTCTGGGCACCTTGGGGATGGCGGGTGCCCGGGGCGCTGAGGCTCAGAGCGGGCTCGGCATGGCGAGCGAGGCGGCGAGGGAGGGATGCAGGGATGGAGGAAGGCGGAGGGCGAGCGCCGGCAGCCGCCTCCTCCCCTGCAGCCGGAGCCGGGGCTGCCTCGCTGCCGGTTCCTCCCGCACAGCTCCCTCTGCCTGTCTCCCCACGAACACGGCGGGCCCCGGCAGCCCCCGGCCCCCAGAGCCCCCGGTCCCCCCGGCTGAAGCCCCTGCCCCTGGCAGCTCCTGGCCCCGAGAATCCTCCCGGGAATACAGAGCCGGGTGTGCGGCCCAGCCTGGGCACCTGACACGGGCTCGGTCCCGGGACAGCCCCTGATCATCCTGTCTTCATCCCTGGCTTCATCCTAATCGAGTCCCCGAGTATTCTGCCTTGGTCCTGACCCAGTCCTGAGCACTCTGGCTTGGTCCTTGGCTGGTCCTGAGCAGGTACTTGATCATCCTGGCTTAATCCCCAGCTCGATCCCGATCCAATCCTTGAGCACCCTGGCTCAATTCCCAGCTTGGTCCTGCTCTGGTCCCTGAATGCCCTGGTTCGGTGCCCGGGTCGGCCCCAAGGCCCCTGATTTGGTCCCAGTCCAGTCACCAAATACCCTGGGCTGGTTCCCAGCTTGGTCCTGATCTGGTAAATCCCAGCCTTGGTCCTGACTGAATCCCTGAGCATCCACTTCTGGGCCCTGCCTTGATCCCCAGATGGTCCCTGAGCGCTCTGGTTTAACCCTGGCTTGATCCTGATCCAGCTCCTGAGCCCTGAGTCTGGTGCCCGTGCCAAAGGAACCTGGCACTGCCGAGCTCTCCTCTCCTCTCCTCTCCTCTCCTCTCACCTCCCACTGTCTACACTC